TTCAGCTGAGTTTTATGACATGCCAATGGAACTTAAACATAAGGTTGGTTGTCTATAAAAGCCTTAACTATGTATTTTGGTCTTGTGGTCAACGAGACTTTATTGCCGCCGCACAGTGCTAACGCTCGGCAAATGGGACAGAGGCGGACTTGGCCAATTGAAATATTTAATGCAATTAACGAGCTTATATGCCGCATTCCAAGCGGTTCTTTAGGCAGCGAGCCAAGTGGCTCGTATACTAAAACTGAAAAAACGTTTATTGTTACCCGAGAAATCCCCCATCCTATCAACGTAAAAAGAGGAAGGTAATAGAGGATGGTTATCTAGATCAAACTTAAAATCGATTCAGTATTCAAAAGGAATCGTTAATGTTAGCCATATGCAAAACAACTTGTCGCTATCTGTATAACATTCCATATTCAACGGCATAATCAAATTATATGTTCTATTTAATCATCCCACGTGTAGGCCCACACACATGTGTAGATAAGTCAGTGCAGTCCGTAATAGTTATGGTCTTATACACATATGTATGTATATGTGGCTATGTAAATGAACTATAAAATATACAGCTGAGCTCCGAGAAGAAGGCTCGTCTATACTCGTAGTTTTCAAGTTGTTTGCCACAAAAGTACAACTATTCCTATTAACTATGGAAATTGTTTGTCAATATTAAAATCTATAATGCTGAAAGAATGAGAACAATTTAATGTGACGGCTGTAATTTATTTTGCATTTACTTGCTGATGCAAATAAGAAGGCAAATCGTTTTACATATACGATTACTCGTAGTAGATTTATTTATGTGATTTCGTAACCGTTTTCGATAATAAAACAGTTTAAAAATGTGTTGAGGAAATTTATTGAATGCTTATCAAGTGTACGATTATTTTCAAATTTGTTTGAGCAGTTGGAATTTACAGCAATACAATTAATTTAAATCTCTGACATACAGGCGATCAGTTCAAATGATTTATTGGGCAATTTTCCAAGTTGAAAAGTGATAAATTTGTATTGGAAAAATTCCACCAAAGAACTAGGTGGGAAAATCAAAAAAATTCTAGATCGACCCTGAACCAGTTGCTTGCCCATGTACGGCTAAAGTATACCCTACACTCGATGAGAGATTTCTTAACTATTTGCCATAGTCCTTTCAAGGCTCCTCATTGCAATAATTGGAAGCTGATATGCGAAATTATAGCCACAACTTTTTCGATTTGGCTGGTATTGTTCATTCGTTATAAATGTGTATGTAGATCATTTAGGACAATACTCTTTACACAAGTTTGCATGTTAAACTCGTTTATATTCATGGGAATTAATTGAATTGCCGCCTCGTGGCCGCAAATAACCTGTCTCTGGGTAATACAAGTTCCCAATTGTAGTACGATCAACCAATATCAGTCAGTGCGGCAAAACTCCACTTTTTAATAATAAAATGATGCAATAAATGATTCAAACCGAGATTAGTTAAGCGATCAACGCTCATTGACTTCCTGACAAGCCCAATAAATATTGTAATGTTTATCCACAGGCACTCGTACGCGTAGCAGTTAATACCGATCCGATATGGGCTCCCTGCCACAGTTGTCGATCGTGAAGGGTCAGCAGCAGGACTTTGTGCCGAGAGCGCTGCACCGCATCTTTGAGGAGCAGCAGCTGCGACACGCCGACAAGGTGGCGCTGATCTACCAGCCAGATACGCCCGGCATGGGAAGGCCTCCCAGCCAGAGCAGCTATCGCCAGATGAACGAGCGGGCCAACCGAGCAGCACGTCTGCTTGTGGCGGAGACCCACGGACGATTCCTGCAGCCCAACAGCGATGGCGACTTCATCGTGGCCGTGTGCATGCAGCCATCGGAGGAGCTGATCACCACGCTGCTGGCCATTTGGAAGGCAGGTGGTGCCTATCTGCCCATCGATCCCAGCTTCCCGGCCAACCGCATCCACCACATTCTCCTGGAGGCTCGCCCAACTCTGGTAGTGCGCGACGACGATGTTGATGCTGGCCGCTTTCAGGGCACACCCTCGCTGTCCGTGACGGAGCTCTATGCCAAGTCGCTTCCACTTAGCGGATCCAACCTGCTCTCGGAGGAAATGCTGCGCGGTGGCAACGACCACATCGCCATTGTGCTCTACACCTCTGGGAGCACGGGCGTACCCAAGGGCGTGCGATTGCCGCATGAGAACATCCTGAACCGCCTGCAGTGGCAGTGGGCCACGTTTCCCTACACGGCCAGCGAGGTGGTCAGCGTGTTCAAGACAGCGCTCACCTTCGTGGACTCCATTGCGGAGCTCTGGGGACCGCTGATGTGCGGACTGGCCATTCTGGTTGTGCCCAAGGCCGTCACCAAGGACCCCCAACGTCTGGTGGCCCTGCTGGAGCGGTACAAGGTCAGGCGTCTGGTGCTTGTGCCTACTCTGCTCCGATCGCTGCTCATGTACCTGAAGATGGAGGGTGGCGGAGCCGCCGAGAAACTGCTCTACAACCTCCAGATCTGGGTGTGCTCCGGCGAGCCGCTCTCCGTGGCGCTGGCCAGCAGCTTCTTCGACTACTTCGACGAGGGCGTTCATCGGCTGTACAACTTTTACGGCTCCACCGAGGTCATGGGAGACGTGACCTACTTCACCTGCGAAAGCAAGAAACAGTTGAGCCTCTACGACAATGTGCCCATTGGTAAGGCAATTTAAAGAGCACCTCCATCTCCTTTGCACAGTCTTACACTCGATCTCTTCTCGATGCACCCCAGGCATTCCCGTGTCCAATACGGTCATCTATCTGCTGGACGCCGACTACCGCCCCGTCAAGAATGGAGAGATTGGCGAAATATTCGCATCGGGATTGAACCTAGCCGCCGGTTATGTGAATGGACGCGATCCAGAGCGCTTCCTGGAGAACCCTCTGGCTGTGGAAAAGAGTAAGTCCTACTTTAGTTACTCGCGATCCATCTTAACCTTTTCTCTGCTTGGCAGAATATGCCCGACTGTATCGTACCGGCGACTATGGCGCTTTGAAGAACGGCAGCATCATGTACGAGGGCCGTACGGACTCACAGGTTAAGATTCGCGGCCATCGCGTGGACCTATCCGAGGTGGAGAAGAATGTGGCCGAGCTGCCACTGGTCGAGAAGGCGATTGTCCTGTGCTACCATGCCGGGCATGTGGATCAGGCCATTCTGGCCTTTGTGAAGCTGCGCGACGATGCGCCGCTCGTAACGGAGCTCCAACTGGAGGCTCGCCTCAAGGACAAGTTGGCCGACTACATGACCCCACAGGTTGTCATCATGGACCACGTACCGCTGCTGGTGAACGGCAAAATCGATCGCCAGGCCCTACTCAAGTCCTACGAGACGGCCAACAACAATGAGGGCGACTCGAGCATTGTGCTGGACTTTGATTACACCCAAGTTCCGGAGGAGCTCAAGCTGACGGCGCGCGATCTATTCGAGACCGTGGGCGGTGTGATTGGCCGCTCGACGCGTGCCACTTTGGCTCCACAAAGCAACTTCTACGAGCTGGGCGGCAACTCCTTGAACTCCATTTTCACCGTGACCCTGCTGCGCGAGAAGGGATACAACATTGGCATTTCCGAGTTCATAGCGGCCAAGAATCTGGGCGAGGTCATTGAGAAAATGGCAGCCAACCACGATGCGGTGCAGCTCGAGGAGGAATCTCTTAATGCCTGTCCGCATCTGAAAATGGAAGCGGTGGCCTTGCGCCTGGACCACCGTCAGCAGGTGATCGAGTGAGTAACCAAAGCCCCCACAATATGCGTGAATAACCAATCTGACATCCAAAATGCTCCATTCCATTCCAGTATCATTGTGGCCAGCTTTTACAACAAGGCAGACTTGGAGCAGTGGCTGAAGCCGGGCGTATTGCGCAGCGACTACAGTGACATTCTCAACGTAAGTGAACCCCCCAAGTCATGGTAGGGTGTGAGGTAATTCGAAGTTATTTTTCAACAGGATATCTGGAACGAATTGGTGGAGCGCGACCTGAGCTTTGTGGTGTACGATCGCAACACAGAGCGGATCATTGGCACCGCCTTGAACTTTGATGCCCGCAATGAGCCCGAAGTGGACATCAAATCAAAGCTGCTCACTGTGTTTGAGTTCCTGGAGTTCTGTGAGGGTCCCATACGGTGAGTACTTTTAGATTTGGATATCAATCAGACAGAATCAATGTTAAACTGGTTCGGGCTTTCAGCGATAACTATTTGCCGAAGGGCCTCAACCAAATCCTGCACTCATTCATGATGGGTACGGCCGAGAAGCTGAATCCGCGCGAGAACATTGCCTGCATGCACTTCATGGAACACGAGGTGCTGCGCGTGGCCCGGGAGAAACAATTCGCCGGCATCTTCACCACCAACACCAGCCCTTTGACCCAACAGCTGGCCGATGTTTATCACTACAAGACGCTCCTCAACTACCAAGTCAATGAGTATGTGCACTCCGACGGTAGCCGTCCCTTCGGCGATGCGCCCGACGATCAGCGCGCCATTGTCCACTGGAAGGAGGTGGGCAAGTAGCACACCATGGACATGGAACCAGAACCAGATCTGCAGCGAATTTAACCCGCACCACGTATTATATTTTCCTAGCCTAGGTTACCCTCTAGTATTAGCTCTAGAAATACTACTGCATAGTGTAACGTCTAATGAAGTTCATAAGTTTGTGTTGACTAGTTGTAAGCATCCGATTTCGAGACAATTAAAGAAATATAAATCGCAGATTTAGAGTCAGTTTTTTCTGCGCTTATTCGACCTTGGAAGGGATTGGGGGGGAGTGCTTCCTACGAATGCGCTAAAGGTTTCAAATTCCAGAATAATGGCAGCCAATCATAAGGTGTTACACGCAGGTCGACTGCCCAAAAGCAACAAATTCGCAGACATTCTCTGCAGCATTCGCTCGGTCGCCCGTCGCTTGTTGTCTATAGCGGCAGACATCAATAGATGGCTTCCCAAGTGATTGATAATGCAATACACAAAATGTTAACATTAAAGCCATAAATACATCTGCTAGGTTTATTTTTGCCTATTACGCATTTCAAGATTTCAGTAATTTATCTGTGGTTAATCTTGTTGTGGCTCATACATACATACATGCATGTACACTCGTATATACTTGCTAGTATACAATATATCTTCTATAACTATTATATATATTTTCATTGAAGTTTTTTTTTAATGAATATCGGAGCTCTTCTGAGGCTCTAAATTTTATGTTGCTGCTAGGTTAATTATACAATTTCTTTGACAATAATTACATAATGCTAGATACACGTCTAAATATATGCAGATTTAAAGTTTACGTTTTTGTTTTGTTTCTTGTGTATACGGGTGAGTGTAAATGTGAATGCGAATGGGCGGGCGTACGTTCTGTCCAAACGAAGCTTCACTATTGGCCTGGCCGCCGTCTTCAACTGCTCTCCAGTGAAGCGTTCAGCCAGAGTACAATGAATGCATGCATGTCGGATGTTCGGGGCTTTGGGAAGCGGGTTTTGCCTAATAAGAACTTGGGTATTTGTGTAAAGGGGTGAAGTGGGCGGGCATGTTTACTACATGATTTAAGCGCTAGTCTTTACTACATACTAAACAACTGTACAGCTAATTTACCTTAATTATTACTTTATAGTTTTCATTATTTCCAGCATTTCTTGGGGTATGGGATTGTGGGCTCTGTGCTGGGGCTGGGGCTTTGGGGGAGGAGGATATCGTGCTGGGGGAGAATGGGAAGGGAGCGGATGATTAGTAACCTAATTGGGGGGCAACGACGCCGATCTTTTTGCCGCTGACGGTGCAGAACGGATGACAAACCAAAATCCATATACGCATATTTTCCAGCATCAGCTTCAGCTGGTTTGGCTGCCTTTTTTTACTTAGTGCTGCGCACTATGCGTATAACCCTTGTGGACTATGAGGCGGCAGTCTGATCCTGCATCCGATAATTCTGGAATGTCTTCCACTCGCCGGTGTTGTAGTCAAGCCTAATGTGCGATTCCACAAGACACAGCGTCGTGTTGCCGTCATCCTGCCGTACTTTTTCCTGAATCAAGGAAAACAAAACAATACAATTACAATGGAAATTCCGATCGCGTTGATGGGAGGAAAACCTTACCTCTGATTCGCCTAATTTAATGACCAAAACGTTTTCATTATTGGGTCGCGGATTCTCACGCAGACCCGCCATGAAACCCAAAATGAGGGCCTTGTCGGGCCGCGAGACACGATTTGCCTTGCGGAACATTTCATGCGCCTTATGTACATGCTCATTCTGGAAGGGATTAAGCGATGGTCAATTTAAATGAAAAACCTGAAAATTGCTTCCAATTCTTACAGAAAGCGAAAGTCCCCGCCGTTGTGGTGCCTGTTGCGTCTGCTGCTGCTGTTGTTGTGCTGCTTGTTGCTGCTGCGGCTGTTGCTGCTGCGCCTGCACTTGCACCTGCACAGTGCGTGGTATAACCGTATTTGGGGTGCCCTGTTGGCCGGCACTGTTCGTGGAGGTGACCAATCGCTGCTGCAGAGTCGGAGCTGGCTTGTGTTGAAGCAGAATTTGCTGCTGCTGCTGCTGGCGCGGCTGCTGTTGCGGTGCCGTTACTGCCGCACCGGCCGATTGAGTAATAATCGTTCGCTGCGTACTGTTCGGCGCCGCCTGCACCTGCACCAGCTGCGGCTGCTGGCCTGGCCGCTGTATCAGCGTCAGGCCCTGCGGCAGCGTGGTCAAACCTCCACCAACGTTCGTCATCACCGGGCGAATGATGGTCTGCTGCGGGGACTGATATTCAAATGGTTTACAAAATGTTTAATTTAATTTATCAACATAATATATTTGTTGCAATCAGCAGCTTTGCAGCTGGACTGCCACTTACATTTCCAATCACATTACTTGGCTGCTGTTGCTGCACAATAACGTGCTGGCCGCCAAGCGAACTGGTTGGAATCAGCGTGGGTAGCATCTGCTTTCCAGGCTGACTCGAATGTTGCTGCTGCATGTGCACTCCCGTCGACGGAGTGGTCTTGACCAGGCTGGGCGGACCTGCCGCCGTGGTTGTCATAAGCGTGGTGCCGAGTCCCTGCAGACCGCCCACATTGCTAATGGGAATCTGCTGGTACATGTCTCCGCCAATGTTCCGCAAAATGACACCCTTTTGGGTGAGTATGATCGTTTTGTTTTTGCCCGTCGTCGGCGACACATTCAGCGCCGAAACTCCACCAGGTCCCACGGTGCTGGTTGGCTGCATCAGTACCTGCGACAGTTTTGGCTGCTGCGTGGCCGTCGTATTGGCCACGATTGTGTGCTGCGGATGGGGCTGCTGCTGTTGCAGCTGGGCCTGCAAGTGCTGCTGCTGTGCGGCCTGTGAAGCTGGCTGAATGGTGACCGGTCTGTTCGGCAGCTGAACATTCTGGATGTTCAGTGTCGTTGACTGCCCGGCGGCGGCGCCAACAGCCGCGGACGTGGCCACCAATGGCGGTGGGTTCGATGAGACCACAGTTGTTGTCTGCTGTTGCTGGCGCACTGGTGTCATCACCACTCCCGACGTTCCCGAGGTCTTTAGCAATATCTTGGTGGGTGCCTGACCATTGCCGCCGGCCGTGGTCTGGTACAGCGTTGTCGTTTGCGGTAAGGGACGCCCGTGTGTAAATGATGTCAGCGTGGGCAGCATCGGTTGCTGTTGCTGTTGCTGCTGCGTCTGCTGCTGATGCTGCTGGGGTGTGGCCAGTATATACTGCGTCTGTTGCTGCTGCTGCTGTTGTTGTGGCTGTTGAGATGTGACCAAGTGCTGCTGTTGAATCTGTTGCATCTGTTGTTGCTGCTGCTGCTGTTGCTGCTGTTGTGATGCTGCCGCTGCTGCGCTCGATGTTCCAGCCTGCTGCTGAGCCCGCTTTGCTGGCTGAATGATCGTCTGCGATATTATCACCGGTCCACTGTTTGTGGCCTGTCTTCAGTTGGCTCAGCGGCATCGTTTTTATGGCTTGTGACGGTATTGTTGTGGTGGTGGTGCCGCTGCTGCTTGCCGTAGCCAATGACTTCTGCGGGGGACAGAGGGAGGGAATTCGTTATTAGCCAACACAATAGTGAAGGAAAGTAAGGAAAACTTACCGCTCGCTGGGCACTGGGCGATGAGGCCAGTATGACGGGTGTCGAGCTGTTGATCAGAATGGGCTGATGTTGTTGCGACGCCTGCTGGATCTGTATCTGTTGCGCTTGACCCTGACCCTGACTGCCGCTTGCTGCCGTAGCCGATGCCGCTCCCGTCGCTGCCGCAGCGGCCGCTTTTGCCTTTGTAGATGTAATTTTTACGGAAATATTATTGGGTAAATTGGCCAGCGGATTGGCCGCTTGTCTCAGCTGCTGCGGGGTGAGTATGGTGGTCGTGGTGGTCGCTGTGCTAGTCGATGGCGATGCCGTGGTTCGCAGCATGGGTTTGATGTCCAGTTTTTCCATTTTGATTGTGGTGTTGCCCACGGTTGTTGTTGCAGTTGCCGTTGCCGTCGTGTTGTTCTGTCGCTTCTGCGGTGATGTGCGGATAAGCAAATGGGGTGTCCGCTGCGCTGCAGCTACTGGTTCTTGCTGCTGTATGATGACACGCTTTTGCTTCTGCGACGGAGACGCCTCGATCTTTTCCAGCTTAATGGTGGCGGGCACTATGATTTCCTCGCTCTTGATCTCGATCTCCTGTTTAATCCGTTTTGGTGTATGGTTGAAGCTGTTGTTGTTGTTATTGTTGTGGTTGTTCAGCTTCTTTCGCGGCGTTTTCTGCTTACTAGCCTCGGCCGCTGGAGTCTTGACCAGCTGTGGTTCTGCCACCACAGTGGCCGGTGCCTGTGCAAAGTCCAGCGTGGTTGTTGCATACTCTGGTGTCTCCGGATCGCACTCCATCGCAATTGCAGTTTTGCCAGCCAGTTCGGGCACCTTGAAGTCATCGTCCTGCGGCTCCTCCAGGCTGCCTGAGCTTTGGTTGAGCCCCTGCGGCTCCGTCTTGATTTCGAAGCTGTTGTTGGCCGATGTGGGCGTGACAGGCGTCTCCCCACCGCTGGCCGTCGCTCCGTCTATGGGCGAGCTATCGCCAGTGTTCGCCGCTGCGGTTGCTGCCGCAGCGGATGCAGCCGCCGCGGCAGCCAGCTCCTTTTTCTCCTTGTTCTTTTGCTGCTCCTCCAGCTGCTGCTCACGCTTGCGCTTCTTGGCCGCCGCGTAGCCCAGCGGCTGTTCTGTGAACTCGATTAGCTTGATGCCGCCATCCTTGCGACCGGCGGGAGTGCGGCTGAGATTGGGTCGCTGGGCCGCGTTGGCCGGCACAGTGGCCGAGCGAAAGCCTGTGGTGGGCATGCGGGAGGGTATGCCCTTGAGGGGCGTGGTATCCGTCATCTTGCGGGGCATGCCGCGCGATCGCAGCGGAATTGTGGGAGCCGAACCCTTCTTCAGCGACGACTGCGCGTCCGCCGACTTGTGGAGCAACTCTGTCCGCAGCTGAACGCTCTTCGGCTTGCGCTTCAGTGTAAAATGCTTCACGGGAGCCGGCTGCTGTCCAACCTAAAGCCGGGTGAGTGAACAAAATGATAAGTTAATGACAAAAATAAAGATAAACTTCATTTACCACCTACCACTGAGATCAACGCATTCTTATTGAGGTACTGACACTCCAGGGGCAGCATTCCCAGGTCGGAATGCTTGTTCACCAATTTTCGCAAATCATTGACCATGTCTGTGAAGATGGGACGAGTGTCCTCGTAGTCGGAGATTTCTGTGTTCAGCGAGCTCGTGGCCGGAAACGTCTTCATCGTCTCGGCCAGCATGGAGACCCACAGCTCCGAGTCGAGCCCGGCCACCTCAATCACCTCCTCCAGCTCGGCCTTCCACTGCAAATGCAACACAACAAAAACAAAAAACAAAGTTAATAATTGGTCGCAGAAACCACCCACAACACACTCACGCACCAACCCACCCACTCACGTACACGTACACACACACACAAATCCATAACGAGAGAGTGTGAGATAGAGAGCGAGAGAGGAGATTGGTAGAGAGAACAATGTGTACACAAAAGTAGAAGTGGCGGGAAACATTTTGTTAATATTTATTTCCCCACCAGAGACCGAAAAACATGAAATTGATGGCTACAGATAAGCTACGAGCAAACAAACCCATGCTCTGGCTGATTAGATTTACAAGTATCACAATTTACGGTTATTTACAGCATTAATTGTATTTCAACAACGAGCGTGGGTGTGTGTGTCTGTGTGTGTATATGTTCTGGTGTACTACCCTTGCAGGTGGGAAGATGGTATAATTGTAGTCATATTTCTATGCGGATGACCTTATCACTTTGGTTTCATAGCATTTTTAAATAATTAGACACAGTGCATCGAATTGCAAGGGTATATACACTTCGGCGCACCGACGTTCGTGTTCATGCACTTTTTCTCATTCATTTTTTTTTTTACACCAACGCCAACCATTTACCTCTTCCACCAGACGGCGCGGAATATGCAGGAAGCTGAGCAGCAACTTCAGTTTAACCTGCGTCTGCAAATCGGGAAAGCATTCCTTGATGTTGCGCAAAACCTCCTTGTTTAATTGCGAGCATATTGAGCCGTTTATCCACGAATCGTTGGATGTTCCCAGTTTATTATGCAGCCACAGTGATGTGTCGCTGTCCCTTACGTTCGCCATTTTTTACGTTTACGCCAATCCCCGCGCGGAGCACATACAACTTTTAGCGTTAAACGATGTCCCGTACTGTTGCACGACACTATTTAATTGAATTTCCCAATTTTAATTATTTTTAACGACACCAAAATACACGTAAAATCCTTCGAAAAATTGTTATAGGAAGCGCACGCACACGCACACAGATGAAAAAAGTGTTGCCGCCAGTGTGACCGCGGATTTTTCTATCGAACATACCGTCTAACCCTCAGAAAAATACCCAAATATACCGTCTCATGTACACAGAAATGATGATCAAATATACCGAAATTTATTTTTTCAAGACTTTACGTTTTTCGTCACTCGTAGGGTTAATAGCAGGGCTGCCAACTTTTAAACTTTTCATGTGGTAAAATATAAACAAAATAGTTAACTTTAAAGCAAGAAATTTAGTTGATTTATGAAATTTCCATTGTTTTGTCTATTATTTGTAGCTAATAATAATAAGCCAAATTTCCAAATCGAGGAATATGATTTCCGAACATGGACAACGATTAACCCATTGGCGACCAGTGGGCACTCTCGATTATGAAACTTGACGAATTTTAGTGCAGTTCAGGTGAAAGATATTAATTCTTATGGGATGGATATTCTAAATGATGGTGGCCAAAAATCGGTTCAGAAAACACCTAGGAAAGGCATGTCAACTGGCGGAAAAATCCTAATCGCAGCCACAGGGGGCGTTGGCATCGGACTGTCAATTGTTTGCGCCTCGTTTGTAGCTCCTGCCTTTCGCAGGATATGCCTTCCATATGTACCGGCGACCACAGAGCAAATCCAGAACGTCCTTAGCTTTCTGCCAAAGAACGCCACCGGCAAGCTGCTGGACATTGGTTCGGGTGATGGTCGCATCGTGTTTGGTGAGTTGCTCCGCTCCCGTTGTGCGACAACGGATCGACGATCAAAGTTATGTTATCTTATATAATCCATTTCAGCGGCGGCCCAGCATACAAAGAGTCTCAAAACCGATGGCGTGGAGCTGAATCCTTGGCTTGTCTACTACTCGCGCTTGGCGGCGCTTCGTCATGGTGCGAGCAGGCAGGCCAGCTTTTACCGGCGTGACCTGTGGAAGTTCGACATCAAAGATTACAACTTTGTGGTCATATTCGGTGTGGAGCAAATGATGAAGGACCTGGAGCACAAACTGATCGCTGAGTGTCCGCACAATACAAAGATCATCGCGTGCCGGTTTAAGCTGCCGAACCTAGAGCCTGAGCGCACCATTGAGGATGGTGTGAACACGGTGTGGTTCTATGACCTCAACAGGCAGACCCGACAAGTGAGCGGCAACAGTTGAGGAATAAACCCGAGTTTATTATTAAATAGTGTAGTTTTATTGTTCTCCATGCTAAGAAAAACTATGCTTAAGATAAATGCTTGAGAGAGAGAGAGGAAAGGGCCCTCCGAGGGCTACGCACGGTAGCAGCGTATTCCACTGAACGAACCACTTTAGTTGGCCAGTAATACAAAATTGTACGAAAATACAAAAAGAGACCAAGGATGGGGGACGAGCTGTGGCGTGGCCAGCGGGAATACAGAATATTAAGGAACAATGGGCGAGGAAAATTGACACGTTTACCACAGAGAAAAGCGGCGAAAACCGCGAAACTGTTGAGGCTAGAAGCGGCGTCCCAAGTAAATGCATTTGCTTCTCTCCTCGCGATAGACCTCGACGAACCCGATCTTTGTATAGAAGTTCAACTGTCCGGGATCCTGATCGGGCACACAGACATGCACACCAAAGCATCCGTTTGCACGCAGTGCAGCCAGCAGGACGGTCAGAATGCGTTTGGTGATGCCGCTATCCCGATCCTCGGCCTCTTTTAGGGTGGCCACAGTCAAAAGGGCCGGAAAGGAGCCGCTCACTTCGGCGGGACACTCCTGCACCTCATCGTAGCTGTTGTGAAACTGATCCAAAAAATGAGCGATTAGCTTATTCAGCTGAACGCTTGACTCATTCACGTCCGCGTCCAGCGTGGGAATATTTTTGGGATACTTTTCACGCAGCTCCGCCATCCAGCACATTTGCATGTTACGCCGAAATACGGCGACATCCAGGGCTGCGCAAGCATAGCCCACAAGAGCACCGTTTTCGTCGTACGCCACTATACAGAGCTGGGGATTGAGCGTTATGTATGGGCCAACAATAGCGTCTGCCACAATATTGGCCACGCTCGAGGGCAGTGGAAAGTTGATGTGGATGTGCTCGGCGCCATCCAGACCGCTGTGCCACTGCAGATAGGTGCGCGTGCAAACGTTAATCACGTCCAGCTCATCGGTATTGCGGTAAGGTCTCAGGAGATAATAGTTGGCCGTCGGCTGCTCCGGCAGCTTGTAGACGAACAGATCATTGCCAGAATCCACAGGCATCAGACGCTGCAAGTCGGCAATCAGTCCTCCGCGAAAGACCCACGGTTCTTGGTCGCCCGACATGAAAGCCTCTTTCCACCCCTTGCTGAACCCTGCGGGCAAAAGATTTGTTAGATTTCCATGCGGATTTTGAGCAATGCTCACGGCACACTTACACGTATAGCTGCCCTCCGTATAGGAGGATATGTTCGGCGGGAACTGCCCCAAGGCCAGCCATTTAATGTAGCAGTTCAGCAGCGAGAGAGCACCAGAAATGTCCCACACATACGAGTACAGCTCGTGGCAGATTTCCTTGTTCTGGCAGTTGGCAATTTTGATCAGCAGCTCCCCGACGCTGCCACATAGCACGTCAAAGTTCTCGCACCGTTGCATCCACTCGCTTACCTCGTGCTTGTTGCTCTTGCTGCCGGCGGAGCGCTCTTTCAGTATGACATTAGCATTGGTCTTTAGCCAGTGGAACTCTTCCAGCAGCTTGAGCGCACGGCTGCCATGCTCAAAGGGTAAATAGAATAGATCACAGAGCAATCCCAGATCTTCCGTAGTTATCTTCGATGCCTCCATAGTCGTTCTGGAAGAAATCAGAGGGAAATGGTCTGGCGTCACTTACAATAGATTATGGCTATAACAGGCACCTACTCAAGATCATGTTCACACATTTCTGTGTTCGATAGCGGTGATGAGGTTGAACTTTCCACGTGCATGCTCTGCAAGCAAAAGAAGTGATTGTCTTTACTTTACTTTGGTCCAAGATTGAATTTAATATTACTCACGTGCACATCGTTCACAGACTCCATGAGGACATCATCGGTGCCCAGCTTGGTGATCTCCTCCTCTTTTGGTGAGACCTGGGAGGCTATGCTGCTGCTGCATTCCATGGGCTCGTTGCCGCCGCCGCTAAGCGGACTCAGACTTGTATCATCCAGCATTGTGTAAACGCTGAGGCTGGCCACTGGCTCCTGCTCCAGCTCCTGCTTCTCCTCCTCCTCCAGAGATGCGTCTAGTTCTTGATCCTTTGATTCGATTTCCAGTTCCACTGCCGGATTTCCCCTGGATGCGATTGACTCGAAGATTTGATTGCCCAAATTCAATCCCACAGACTCAGCCTCAGCGCTCTTGGCCTCCATAATGGGCACTGGAACAATGGAGATTGGTATCTTTTTGGGCAACTCAATGTTGCAAGCAGCTGTGGTTGGTATGGGATTAATAATGTCATCGTTGGTGACCACTTTAGTGGGCGATACCAGGGAGTTCATCACCGGATTGGATATCGGGGTCATCGAGGAGCTGACAGTGCTGCAAACATCGGCCAATGCCTGCAGCTGGGTGGTATTCACTTCGGGCACAGTCCGGGAGTTCGTCGATGTGGTTGTGGTGGTTGTCAGACTCATGCAAGTATTAATCGATGGTATGATCGGTATAATGGGCATGACCATTTGAACTTGCGGCTGTGGCTTGGTTATGGGTCCCCAGGCCTCCTTCTCCACAAAGAACTCTGGCAGCCAGTCCGAAATGGCATTTCTAAAATGAAATATAATCACACAAAATCCATCGGACGCGCTCTAGTACTTACTTGAGAGCCACTCGTGGATGATAAACGTTTTTTGAGAGGAACTCCGTGGGCATTTCATCCTCATTTTCAGTCTCCAGTTTGATATCGGAGCTCAGCGAGCTGTTCATCTTGGAATCCATGCTGCAACGCGACCACGAGGCCAGCGAGTGGATAGCAATAAAGTTGGCGTAGAACTCACAGTTGGGATTGGTCATTACGCCGCGCAGATGGGGGATAAGCTCGGGCGATCGACCAGTGTACGGACCGAGAAAGACACGCTTCTGGTCGTAGTCGTTGGCATGCAAATTGTCCCAAATGCATGGAGGACGTCGCAGGACCTCCGTTATCTCCTGTATGGATGCAATGGATATCGTCTTTGAGATGACTTTGTCCCCCGTCCAGAGTATGTCGATATCAATGTTGAGCTTTGACCCCAAGGTATTTAGATACTCCGATTCCTGTACCGTAGGCACTGCACGGGTGCCACAGTACTGCGTTGGGCAGAACAGAAACTTGGGGCCGCCCAAATGGGTAAAAATCTCATTGGTCACCGAGACATGGGCATTGGCGAATGTCTGGAACACCTCCTTATCGACCTTGGACAGTTCCGACTCAATGTCATCGAAGAGCAATGCATAAGCATCGCATCCGAACTGCGAGACCTGATCCAACTTGCGTTTTAGCGTTGCTATCTCCTTCGGGCTGCTATAGGTCATGTCCAGGCCGGGCGATAGAGCGTAGTAGAAGGCAATGCCGGCTTCCTTTGCGGCCGCAATCAGACCTGAACGCAGAGAAATTAGAATAAAAACAAGACAACGCAGGGAGGCAACTGCTTACTGGATAGATGATCCGCTTCTTCGACAGTGTATAGCTCTCGCCAAAAAGCTCGGTGTTTGTAGTCGTCCTTGGGTGCGTACATGTACGAGTCCATTCCCATCTTTTTGAGTTTGCGAAATAAACCTTTGCGCTGCTCCGTTGTCCAGGGGCGCCCGTAGAAACCTTCAATCACGCCGCAAATAAAGTTCCGCTGAGTATCCTGCTGGGACGCAAGCTGTGGGGCGGCGCCGTGTTCCATTTTTCTCAGGATTTTTAAGACGTGCGAAAACAAAGTTATTTACTTTATTGATGAAATATACCGCATGACCCTTAGAAATATACCGAAATATATACTTGTCATTATCAAAATATACCGTAAATATACTGACGGACACGACCAGATTCGTTGTTATTCCGCGATTTTGATATTCGCCTTAATGTTACTAGTTAGTTAGCCCTCTCAGCCCCAAACAAATAATTTTATCCAATTTCTTAATAAATTTTGTTCAGGATTGGGTAGTTTTCCAAACTCCTTTTTATTGGATTGTTTACATAAAAGGGTTCAAACAAAAACGGCCAAAGCAAGGGCTGTAAAACCATCGATAACACCATCGATGACACATCTATGGTTTTGCATCCCTGATTTCTAAAGTTTTGTTTATCATTTATTTTATTTAGTTTATGAGAAAATGCAGCCTTTTATCGTTATACGCACTTACCGGGAAGATGACGAACTCAAGTGTCAGGATCTGGTGCGGGACTACATTCTGTCGTTCTACACGAAATCCTTCTTCGCTCTGATGGTCCGAGAGGTAACGTTCAAAATCGACTTGGTTGCCTGTTCATACAGGGCTCCATTTAGAATTAGATTCCACTAAATGTTTGTTATGTCTGGCTGTCCAGATTACACTTCAGTTCATAGTCATCACATGGGCGATATTCTTCATATTTCTGGGAGTGCCCCTGCTCTTCTGTACCCTGTCGATACCCGGATGCATCTTCTTTCTATTTACCAGCACGTACTTCGCATTCTACGCCAAGGCAATGGAGCTCATGAAGGTTTGTGGCATCGAATACTGGTAGACCCTCAACTCTTAACTCCTTCCTTTATTTTAGGTGAAACCCTCTCAATCCCTGGTGGCAGAGTGCTATGAGCCATTTATTTTTCGCTGTTCCCCCAAGGAAGCCAGCTATAACATCTTCGTGGAGAACTGCCCATACGATGAGGCTTACAAAAAGAAATTCCGTCGTCGAATTGTGGCCACCATAAGTGTCAAAGACCACCATGCTGTGTACAATGCGGCTTGGATATGTCGCTTTGCGATTGCTTCGGATTATCCCTATCAAAAGATCATGGAGCCCATGATCAGTCTTGTATCGAAGAAATGCCACAGCGGTGGCTATGGCTCGCTAGAGTGCACCATTTCCGAGTGGCAGGAGAATGAACGCGACTTCTATGACGAATATGGCTTTGTCACGCGTCAGATATACCATAAAAAGATCATTGGCAGCAGTCTTTCGGTGATGAAGACACAATTAACGTTCCGTTTGCACACCGATGACAGCATCCAGAAGCGAAACTAAAGCGATGCGAGTGCAATATATAGAGAATCTCGATCAACTGTGAACTTGTAGCACAATATTTAGATATTAATTTTGTTGACTTCTCAGATTCCTTTAACATATTTCGACTCTCCCACCCCACCCGCTTCCAACAGGTTGTAATATATGTATATGTAATGTAAAAAAAACACAGATAATAGCGCGTACATTGCTTTTGTCCTGTTTTTATTATCTCTGGTTTATTCTTTGATTCTATTTAAATAAATAAATAAAATATTTAGTAATAAATAAAATTTGCATAATGGTTTAGCGTTTATTTTGATGCCCGCACATGCAACTATTGGCTTGGCTTGGCTGGCTGGCTGTTCTTTTAGCGCATTTTGCTGTTTATGTAAACTTTTGCTGAAGGTACATTTATTTCTTTCTTTGATGCTTTACAGTTTTTCTTTAGCCCTTGAACGTGTTTTTGTGTATTGTGTTTGAAGTAAAATGTAATTTAGCAAAACGAATCCAATTAATATGCAGCTGCCATGTGTACAAAAAGCTTTAATGCCAGACATGCAATTGAAATCTGTATACATTTCGTATTTATTTGGGATTTTCCTTAGTGTTTCATTTTAGTTACAATCTTCTCTCTGCAGGCGCAACTAATTCTTAAAAAAATAAACTGGAGCTAACCCAGGTCGTTCCGCTCCGCTCCGTTCCGCACTGTAACTGTAACTATGTGTTTAAATTTAGTTTTAGTTTTAGCTTCACTTGCATCAACTATTTAAAGCGTGTTTCAAAACTGGCTGTGAAATTAGCATAGTTTCCCATTATTTATATCTGTTTCCTCCTTTTCTTTTAAGGTAAAATGTATTATTTTGGTTTCGTCGCAAGCAGCCTCCACTAGAGCAGTGCAGTTGCAGATCCTCTCCTGTCCTGCAGTGCAGTGCAGCGTTCGCTTAGAAAAGCTTCACACGCCGCTTCAGCTCGTTGCGCCTCCACTGGGGCAGGCGGTAGAACTCGGATCGGGCGCACTGCAAAATGTGCTCAAACTCAATGTCCGACAAATGACGCTACAGATGATAAACAAATCAAAGGAATTAGCTAACATTCACACGGTGCAAGAATTACACTGGAGTTTACCTCTAGATTACAGCGATCAACGTCCGAGGGCAGACGATAGTTTGTAATAAGCAGTAGATGGTAAGGATAGATCTTGGCTGGCTCATGCACCAACATCGAGTGTGCCATATTGGGCAGACTTCGTCGAATGAGTCCCGCCTGCGGATAGTGGTACGAAAGTGCACCTGAATATGTGCTCGAGGCGGGCAGGTCGCCGCCCATCAAGGCGCGTCTATCTCCCTCGGTAATCGAATCCACAGAAGCTATACAAAAACAATCAAATCATTAGCGGGGATTATGGAGGAGTTAAGTATGAGCAAAACTTACCTTCCGATTTGCCACAGCTCAGGTCTGTGCTGTGCGTTTTGTCGCCCAGTCCTCCATAAGAGAAATCCTGTTTCAAATCAAAAATAAACCAACGTTAATCTCCTTATACTTGGTCTGTGAAAGACTCATGCAAAAACAGGAAGAACCCATAAACAAGTGCAGGGCGAAAGTAACTAAAACTAAAACTAAAAAAAGAAGAATGCCGATCATACGCATACACCAAATAGATATGGAAATTAAAAGAAACTATGGCATTGGAAGCACAACAACAATAGCATATTACGTTACAACGTTACAACGAAAGCAGTCTTACAGTGGCACCATGCATCGTGGCAGCAGCAGATGTTGTGGAACTGAATGTGTGAGATCGTGGGGCCAGGCCGTATCCAGGTTTGGGTACATGACGCAGGGCGCTCACCACTGAGCAGAGTAGTTGTTTTAGCAGTACGAGTAGTCGGATGTATGGATTGGATGATGCAAATGTACGAGTTCAGTTTTGGTTAGTGTGGAATGCGATTAGTGTTCAATGAATGTTTGGGTTTATTTTTGTGTGTGCGTGTGTGTGTGTTGGGAGCGCGGGTCAAGGCAACAAATATGCATACACACAGAGATTTTTGGATAGCATAGAATTAGATTTAGACACACAAGAAAGCAGCAGACCAACCAACCAGTTGAGATGTTATTCAAAATGTTTTTGTTAATTGTTATGCAACGGGGGGCCAACAGGATAAGATCATCCATCCAAATGGAGGAGCAGCCAGCCACCAGCAGCAACAGTAAAAGGATGAGAAAGACACAAACGAATGCAGTCAGCCAGAGGTTAAGGTTAAATGTTAAGAGTTATGGGTTATAATAGAGTGATTCCATTGCCAAATACGTGTATAGTACGAGTACGAATATTGAATAGACTAAGGGACTACAGCACAGCACGAATGAGAATCCAGCACCGGAGAGTTGATCTAGCAACTGGGGGGCAGGGCAGCACTTACTGAGCTGTAGCCGTTGCGTATATAGGGCAGAGTAGTCGTTTTGAATCCGTATCCGGGCTTTGGCGGCGATCGATAGGAATGTATGGCTATAAACGTAATTGGCTATATATAGTATCGAATCGAATCACACCCTAACATACGAGTACGAGACTGGAATATAAGGCTATTAAAGCTAAACGATTTACCATTGTAACTGGGCGCATTTCCCAGCGATTTGCCCAGCGAGCCGCGATAGCTTGTGGACCGATCAAACATTTCATCCTCATAGAAGGGCTTCTGTGAGTCCAGATGGCGTGATGGTGATGCTCCAATGGGTGATTCGTATCTGCAAAAGGCGCATACGAGTCAAAATGATACCAAAGCCATGCAGACGAACGAAAAGGACCTACCTCAACTTGTAGATCGGCTCCTTTGAGGCTGAAGGCGTGCGCGATGCATTGCGAGGATCAAGGTTGTTCTGCTTCCACTTTCGGTACTTGGCGTGCTCCTTCAGATCCTTGGCAATGACAGAACCAATGCCCGAGTTGAGCTTTTCCAGTTGCTCGGCTTCACGTTGAAGGCGTCTGCAAAGGATTTAAAGTTTCATAGTTTGCTCTTATCTTCTCATTTTCTCCACTTACCTTTGCTCTTCGCCATTTTTGGAATTGCCATTCGTTTGCTTGCCATTCTGGACATTCTCATCCTCGTCATCCGAGACGGGCACTCCCTTGTAGGTGTCGCTGTAGCGTCGCCTGCGCTCCGGATCAGTGTATGGATAGGGCGGTGCTGGGAAGTCATCCCTTTCGATTTTCGGCTGCTCTCCGGGCAATGGCTTCTTGGCGTCCGGATAATGCGACAGCTCAATGGGTTCTTCGTTGTTCATGCCCGGACTCTTGGGACGTGGCGTTTCCGATCGTATGGCATCCACCAGCACCTTCATGGCACTTCGCGTGCGCGAATGGGGACGCGAGGGCGGACGACTGCCGGCCACAGAGCCCGCATTGCTGGTCGTCGCATAGGATGCTGGCCGGTGAAAGTGCGGCGAGAGTGGCGTCTTGTCATAGGGATCGATCGGCTTGCGCAGATAATGCGGCGCATCAGTCAGATAACTGTAGGTGTAAATGCGCGATATATCTTCACCGATCGGTCGGCCATACTCGCGGAGTATCAGACCCGGACTGACCGTTCGATAATGCTGAAAGAGTTGCCACATTATTAGCCATTGATTCGAGTACTCGTGGGAGGGGTTTGACATGCAGAGTGCCGTGGGTTTTTGATTATAGATTTTAGTATTCAAAATTATAAATAAGAGAAAATGGCCAAACAAAGAAAAATCATAACCATAAAAATCATAAAACAAACCTTGCGGCTAGAGGAATAAAGTGAACCGTTTATACTCGGAGTTCTGGAGCGGATGTACTGAAAACGAACAGAAATCAAAACGCAAGCTCAAAATAAAGTGAACTAAAATGCAACAAAAGAAATTATAAAATCAATAAAATCAAAAAAAATCAATTGCAGTGTGGTGTGTCGTGATGAGCGATACCAAAAATCGTTCAGCTGAGGAGTGTGGAGGAGGAGGGTGTGTGTGTGGGTGTGCTTAAATGTGCGCAGCATTCAAATTAGTAGCAAGATCAGCAGCCGCTTTTGTGTGTCGTTGGAATCGTTTGCTGTCGAGGATGCCATGTAAAACTATTGGATCTGCATTTACATACCATTTCGCTCAGTGCACTGGAACTCATGCGATCACATTCGGTGTCTGTAAAGTTGCCATTGGAGGCGCCGCCAGCCACCGAAGTGTGGCCGCCACCAACGCCGCCGCCGCCGTTTAGTATAATGCCAGACTCTGAGGGTCCGGGGCCGCAGCGTGGATGCCAAATGGCGCTGCCCTGCAGGTACATTTCCTCACCGTCGCCAAACGGATCGCCGCACTTGGTGCAGCGTGCGCATGTTGGATGGAAGTGATGGTTGTCGCCGGCCTGCAGCACCTTGCCACTGATGAAGCGGTTGCAGTAGGCGCACTTGACGCCGAAGCCCTTCTGATAGCACTTCTCGCAATACGGCACAGCATCCTTGCCCATATACTCGCCGTTCAGCACCACCTGGCAGGCCTTGCACCGGAAACAGGAGACATGCCACTGCCTGTCCAGAGCGACCAGTGCCTGACCCTCCTTCAGCAGCTCCCCGCACCCGGCACAGTCATTGGGATCGTAGTCCTCCTTCAGGTGAGCCTTGTGCGAGACAACGCCGCCGGTTAGCTGCTGGTGGGCGGTGGCCCGAGTGGGACTCTCCGCTGGCGGTGCTGGCGACGACACTGCCGTTTTTCGTGTCGGCGAAACAGGTGCACCGCCGCCACCGCCACCGCCTGACACACAATTCTCGCAAAGGACTTCCTTGCCGGTGTTGGTCACCTTGCTGCCGGATTTGAACGGCTGCTGGCACTTGGAGCACGTAAAGCACTTCTGGTGGTACGTCTTGCCCATGGTGCTGACCACCTCGCCCTCCACATACTGCTGGCACGTGGCACACTTGGTGCCGTACAGCCGCTGATAGTCCGGTATGCAGTAATAGGCGCTGTCTTTTGTAAAGAAACCGCCGGTGGCCAGGGACTTCTTGCACTGGCAACACTGGAAGCAGGCCTTGTGAAAGTGATTGTCGGCCACGCGCAACACCTCGCCGGAGCATTTTTTTGTGCATTTTGCACAGTAAATTTTTTGTTTACCTGCCAGCAGAGAGGAGAGGAGAGAAGAGAAGAACATCGATTATAGATTATTTTAATGCAGATACGACGAGATTAGCGTTCGCTTCTGTTTTAATCCAATTCATTCAATTGACGCCACCCACCGTCGTCGTCCAGATTACGTATGCCGAACGGCAAAGCACTGCTGAT